AGAGAGAGAGAGAGAGAGAGAGAGAGGGACTCCCAAGCAGGCTCGCACTGTCAGAGCATCGGGGCTCAAACTCATGAAACTATGAGATCGTGACCTGGGCCGAAACCAAGAGTCGGACGCTTAACTGACTCAGCCACCCAGGTGCCCCTCACATGCAAATCTTTAAAGATCTTAATTTTTTTCTTAAATATCAAAGAAATTCTTGCTTCTTACAGAAGTGAAGAAAGTAAAAAGAGAACTTCAAACCCACTTCTCACGGGGAGCTGCTTTTACTAGATAAGCAGATTAGCAGTTCTCTAACTGGGAACTCGTTAGAAATGCAAATTCTTGGCCCCCACTCCAGACCTGCTGAGCCAGAAACACTGGGGAAGGGGCCCCATCTCCTGTATAATGACAAGCCTTCCACATGGCTCTGATGCTCAATTTGAGAACCACCGACTTAGAATACATCATTCCAGATCTTTCTGTGTAGTCATTTAAGTATGGATACCTGAATACACACATGTTTGCCTTCTTTTCTACTAAAAATGAGGTAATTCTACCCATGCTTTTCTGCAGTTTGCCTTTTCTCTTGCAAAATTCTGAACATGACATGAAACCCAGTAGGTATAAAGGAAAAGGTTGACAGAGCTACTGGTAAAAATGAAAAACGTCTGTATGGTGAAAGTCACAGTTTTTGAAAAGTTTAAATGATGGATCAGGCAAAAACAGTTCATAAATCATAAAAAGGTATTCCAGCTCCCTGATAGTCAAGGAAAATAAAACAATCATAAGATATGCAATATTTTACATGCCTCACAATGGGACAGTCTTGATGGGAGTGTAATTTGCTGTAACCTTTTGGGAGAACATCTATCAGTCAGTTTAAAAATACTCTTTCCCCGGGCGCCTGCGTGGCTCAGTCAGTTAAGTGTCTGACTCCAGCTCAGGTCATGATCTTATAGTCTGTGGGTTTGAGCCCTACATGAGGCTGTGTGCTGACAGCTCAGAGCCTGGACTCTGCTTTGGATTCTGTGTCTCCCTCTCTCTCTCTGCCCCTCCCCTGCTTGTGCTCTGTCTCTCAAAACAAACAAACAAATAAATAAATAAATGTTGAAAAAAATAAAAAAAACAAAAAACCTCTTTCCCTTTGATCCAGTTAGGAATATTACGATACAGAAATGCTTTCCCAAGCGGTCAAAAAAGGCCAAACTCCAACATTATTTGTAATAACAACAACAACACCTGGGTGGCATTAAGCACCGACTTCGGCTCAGGTCATGATCTTATGGTTCGTGGGTTCTAGCCCCGCATTGGGCTCTGTGCTGACAGCTCAGAGCCTGGAGCCTGCACCAGATTCTGTGTCCCCCTCTCTCTCTGCCCTTAGCCTGCTCACGCTCTGTCTCTCTCTGTCTCTCAAAAATAAAATAAATGTTAAATTTTTTTTAAAAAAAAAAGGAAAGAAAGAATGAATGAAAGAGAGAAAGAAAGAGAGAGAAAAGAAAGAAAGAAAGGAAGAAAGAGGAAGGAAGAGAGGGGGGAAGAAAGGAAGGAAGGAAAAGAAAGAAAGAAAGAAAGAAAGAAAGAAAGAAAGAAAGAAAGAAAGAGGAAGGAAGAGAAAGAAAGAGAAAGAAAGGAAGGAAGAGAGAGAAGGAAAAAAGAAAGAAAAGAGGAAGAAAGAGGAAGAAAGGAAGAGAAAGAAAGGAAGAGAAAGAGAAGAAAGGAAGGAAGAGAAAGAAAAAAGAGAAAGAGAAAGAAAGAAAGAAAGAAAGAAAGAAAGAAAGAAAGAAAGAAAGAGGAAGGAAGAGAAAGAAAGAGAAAGAAAGGAAGGAAGAGAGAGAAGGAAAAAAGAAAGAAAAGAGGAAGAAAGAGGAAGAAAGGAAGAGAAAGAAAGGAAGAGAAAGAGAAGAAAGGAAGGAAGAGAAAGAAAAAAGAGAAAGAGAAAGAAAGAAAGAAAGAAAGAAAGAAAGAAAGGAAGAGAAATAAAGAAAGAGAAAGAAAGGAAGAGAAAGAGAGAGAGAAGAAAGAAAGGAAGGAAGAGAGAGAAGGAAAAAAAGAAAGAAAGAAAAGAGGAAGAAAGAGGAAGGAAGGAAGAGAAAGAAAGGAAGAGAAAGAGAGAAGAAAGGAAGAGAAAGAAAAAAGAGAAAGAGGAAAGAAAAGAAAAAGAAAGAAAGAAAGAAAGAAAGAAAGAAAGAAAGAAAGAAAGAAAGAAAGAAAGAAAGAAAGAAAGAAAGAAAGAAAGAAAGAAAGAAAGAGGGAGAGGAACGACCTAGATGCCGAGCAGGAAGGGAATGAGCTGAGTAGGTTCGTCCAGGCCAGGCACTGTGGCTCAGCGTCTAGAGTGAGGTGGACCTCCTCTTGTGGATGGAGAGCAAAGGCCCACCTCTCATTGCCCACAGGGTCTCCTGAGGGATGCTGCGTGTTGCAGGGGTGGAGGGGGCAGGGGAGAGGAGGAGGCTAGGACAGCCCACCCTGCCCCCTCCTCCGGTCGCAAATTTCACCTGTCTCTCTCACCTCTGCCCCTGGGAGCAGGCAAGGGGACAAGCCACCCTGCCCTCAGTCCCTCCTTCCCTCAGGACACATGGACCACGGGGTAGGTAAGCTGAGCTCCACATACCCACAGAGCTGCCTGGGCAGGGCGGATGCCGTGTGACTTTTCCAGAAGGCCCCTTGCGCTCTGGGGCTTTGATCTTCTGGAACCCTCCTATCTAGAATTTTCAAGATCACCCGGTTCACACTTGTCTCGCCAAGGCCTAGAGAGAACCCATCAGGGCTGGTGCCCCACCACCACCCCGGATTGATTTCGGAATGTTATTCGTTTTCTATTTTTATTTTTTTAAGTTTATTTATTTTGAGAGAGACAGAGAGAGAGGAAGCGGGGGAGGGGCAGAGAGCATGAGAGGATCTCAAGCAGGCTGCACGCTGTCAGCACAGAGCCAGACGTGGGGCTCGAACCCAAAACGTGTGAGATCATGACCTGAGCCGAAATCGAGAGTCGGATGCTCAACCGACTGAGCCACCCAGGCGCCCCTGATTTCTGAAGGAATTTGATATTTCAAAAATGGAAACTCAAGACTTTGTTCCTGAAATTTTTTTTCCTGGCCGCATGTTGGGGGAGGGGATGCCCTGTCAGGACTTAGGGCCTTTTGAAGGGCCTTGACGTTGCTCTGGGTTCCACAGCCGGTTAAAAGAATGGTATTCTTCCCACTGCAAGAGGCTTGCTGTCATTACTTCAGATTAAAATACTGCAAGAACTCTCCTTTTCCACCGTCTGCCTTGCACCTCGGCTTCGGTTCCTTCCCTGTCTCGGGGCCAGAGTTCGGGCCCAAGCCCCAGGCAGTCGCACCTCCCCTTGAAGGGACCCGGGTGCCCACTTCCCTTTAGCTCAGCAGACTGTGCAGAGGCCACCAGGGTCCCCAAGCACAGCCTCTGGAGCGGAAGCCTCAGGCCCCACCGCTGGCCCAGGTGAAAAGCACCCGACCCTCCTTCCCTCCCTGCTCCCGAAGGGCCTTTAGTCTGGGGTCAGCGAAGCTCTCTTCTGCCCCCACCTGGCTCTTGGCCGTCACTGCAGCGGCCCCAGGACACTCCCACAGCCCCGCCTCCCCACTCCTTCTTCTCTCTCCCCCAGGACGCTCCTCTGCCCTCAGCCCCTGAATTCCACAAAGATCCCTCTTGCCCATTCCTTGTTTCTCTTTGTTGCTCAACTTCCGGCTCCCTTTGCCCCGCTTCCCTCCCATTGGATGTTTCTAGACCGGCGCCGTCCGATGCGGTCCCCACTAGCCACACGCGGCCATTGAGCCCTTGAAATGTGGCTGGTCTGAAATGAGATGTGCTATGAGACTCAGCAGGGGGGGAAAGTGGATTCATTTTATTGCTTTTATATGGATTACATGAGTGGAAAGATAATGTTTTGGATATGTTGGGTTACCTAAAATTCATGACCAAAAATGATTTTACCTGTTTCTCTTTACTTTTTATTTGTTATTTACTTATTATTATTTTTTAATGTTTATTTTTGAGAGAGAGACAGAGACAGAGTGCGAGCAGGGGAGAGGCAGAGAGAGAGGGAGACACAGAATCCGAAGCAGGCTCCAGGCTCTGAGCTGTCAGCACAGAGCCCGACGCGGGGCTTGAACTCACAGACCACGAGATCATGACCTGAGCCGAAGTCGGGCGCTCAACCGACTGAGCCACCCAGGCGCCCCTCCTTCTCTTTACTTTTTAAAAATTTATTTATTTATTTATTTTGAGAGACAGCATGAGTGGGGGAAGGGCAGAGAGAGGGAGGCAGGGAGGGAGGGAGAGAGAGAATCCCAAGCAGACTCCTCACTGGCAGCGCAGAGCCCGACTGGGGGCTCAATCCTACGAAGCGAGTGATCATGACCTGAGCCCAAGTCGGGAATCGGAGGCCTGACTGAGCCGCCCAGGCACCCCTCTCTTTACTTTTTTAATTGGCTACTAGAGAATTTAAGACGAGACCTGGTTCTCATTATATTTGTACTGGGCAACACTGGTCTAGACCTTCTCCCCTGCTCCGAGGTCCCGGGCTCACTGAGTCTGTTCACTGAGACCTCCATATAAATCTCCTTTCTCACCATAGTTCCCCAAAGCTCTAAAGGAGGCCCCAGCCCTCTCCACCAACCGCAGGAGCTGGCCTCTCCACCCACCCCTCTTTGGCCCAGGGACCCCTGTGAGAGGCGCTGTGAACACAGGCTGGGCAGGGTGATGTTGAGGGGATCAGCCACCGATGTTCCTCAATTGACTGTGCAAGAGTGGGGGCCCCTGGGGGCCCCTGGGGCCGCGTCTGTGAGGTTCTGAGCCCGGCCAAGTGAGCGTGAGCTATGTGACTTCCACATCTGTCAAGTGGGCAGGACTATTGCCTACCTCACAGCAGTTTAAGAATTAAATGCAATAATAGGTTACAAAAAAAAATTTTTTTGAAAGCGGGGCGGGGGGCACCTGGGTGGCCCAGTCGGTTGAGCATCCAACTTCAGCTCGGTTCGCGATCTCACAGTTCGTGAGTTCGAGCCCCGCGTCGGGCTCTGCGCGGACAGCTCCGAGCCCGGAGCCCACTTGGGATCCTGTGTCTCCCGCTCTCCCTGCCCCTCCCCCGCTCATGCTCCGTCGATCTCCCTCTCAAAAATAAATAAACATTAAAAAATTAAAAAAAAATAAATGAACGCGATAATAGAAAACGGCAGTGTGAAACAAGTGGTAGCTCTTTCTCCGACGGGTTAGGGTCGGAAATCTCTCCTGAAACTGGCCCATTGTGCGCTGTAGACTTGTGTGGATTTCTTTCCTCCCTCACTAAAGGTGTTTTTGAAAATTCAAAGGCAGGACCCCTACCCTCTATCTCTGTCCACCTGGGATGCCTTTGGGTAAAGAGAGGAAACCTTTGGGCGGGAGCGGGCCCTGGGACGGTTTTCCTTGGGGAATGGGGGTGTCACAGCCAGTGTGGACCGACCCAGTGCCCCGGGGAGGCCGGCCTGGGCCAAACTCAGTCCTTTCCAAGCTGAAATGAGCAGCCGGAGCACGTGAGGCTGCAGCCGTGACCGGCCTGCTGGGACGGTGTCCAGGAATGTGACATTGCAGGACGCGTTCCCGCTCAGGTTGGCAAACTAGACGTGACCTCCGTGACCTCCGAGGTGGAGGAAGGGGGAGGGTCCTGGCTGAGGGAGGGAAAACCCCGAGATTCCAGGTATGGTACAGTCCCCAGTGGGTCTGAGCAGCCCCGAGGAGGCCAGCGACATCCCAAAGCCCAGCCAGAAACATCCAGAGAGGACGTCTGTCCCGAGGCCGGCCCCTTCCCATGAGGAGCAGGGCCTGTGACCGGGTGTGCGCAGGGGGAGCGGGGGTCGGTGCCGGATACTCCTCTTAAGACGTTTCCATTCCCCGCTGGGAAAGAAACAAAGGGGTTTAAAACCACAGGCAGAAGGACAGACATCACAGAGCCTTAGAGGGTCTCCGAGGCCCGGTTCCTCCAGGTTTCTTCTCCAGGCTAATAAAAGCCTGGACATGTAGCTTAAACTTAACTCCTCTCCTTTTGCCCCTTTTTTATGTAAAATTAAGGAACTACAGGTGATTTTTTAATAAACTTTAAGGAGAAGAAGTCTATTTTCCTTTTGTGTTTATAAAAGCAATATGCAGCGTTGTGGACATGTAGACATACGCCAAAAAGCAAAAAGCAGAGAAAATCATCACGGCCCCACTAGCCAGGGACAGACAATCGGCCGACAATTTTGGCGTGTCTCTTGCTGATCTTTTCATGCATAGTTGTGGAAGGTTTTGGTCCCCCCCCCCCCTCCATCGTGCGGTTATGCTCTGTATGCAATTTTGTGGGCATCTCCCCATGTTATTGCAAAGCCTTGGTAACCTTCGTTTTCAATGGCAGCTTGACAATGCTTAGCCATTCTGTTGTCGTTAGATGTTTGGGTTGGCTCCAGTCTTTTCACTTGGTAAATAATACAGTGTTGGGGAAATGTCCCATCTAGCTCTGGGGGAAGGGAACAGGGGAGCAGAGGGTTTGAGGCCACAGTGAGGACCAAAAAGTGGCTGTTGTAGTAGACAGATTTCCTAAGAGCTCTCCGACCACAGGAGTGGGTGTGATGGGCTGCCTCGAAGTGATGAGCTCCCCGTCACAGGAAGTATTTTCTTCACAGTAAATAAGGACATTCTTATACCAGGAGGTCAAAGTAGGTCGCCTCGTGGATCCATCCCGACTCTCCTTCTGTGAGCTTTCTCTGAAACCATCACGAACCCCTCAGCCAAGGGAGGACCGGCCCTCAGATGAGTGGTCAAAGGGAGACAGCCTAGGAGGGAAGGAAGAACTTGGAGCTTGGAGCCGAAGACAGAGTCCTTCTCCGTCTTCATCTGGGGCAGGTTACGTTTAATCTTGTGGGGACTCGGTTTCCTTTCTGTGCTGTGGGATACCACTTCTAGAAGTCCTAGAGGGAAACACGAGGTTCTGTACACACAGCCTGTGACCGCTTACACTGTCAGTAACGATGACAGCAGCACTGACGATGACGACAGACAGTGGGGCAGGGTACACATGCCCTCTGCTGGCCTGGGCTGCACTCCTGCCAGGGACATTTCCTCTGTCTCCTCCTAAGCCCCATTCTGTCTCTCTCTCTCTCTCTCTCTCTCTCTCTGCAAAGCACTCATTTTATTAATTCTAACAATGTTTTTATTTTTGAGCGAGAGAGAGAGAGAGAGAGAGAGAGAGAGAGAGCAAGCTGGGGAGGGAGCAAGAGAGAGGGAGACAGAATCTGAAGCAGGCTCCGGGCGCCCCCAGCTGACAGCACTGAGCTGGACCCACGTGGGGCTGGACCGCACTAACCATGAGATCGTGACCTGAGCGCAAGTGGGACACTTAACCCCAAAAGCCCCATTCTCAATCCTGCAGATCGATGCTGCCTCCCTGATTGCTGCCTCGGTCATGGCCGCCCCTTGTGCGCTGGCCCTCTCCAAGCTGGTCTATCCCGAGGTGGAGGAGTCCAAGTTTAGGAGCCTGGAAGGGGTGAAACTGACCGGCGGGTGAGCACAGCCTGAGGGCGGCCTGCGGAGGGGGCTGTGGGAGGGATGGGGTGAGGGGGGGTCAGGAAGGGGAGGCAGGGAGCAGGGCTGGGGGAGGCTGAGGGGGAGAGGCTGGGAGGGAAGCAGGAGCAGAGGCGTGGGGCAGCAGCCGCCTCTCCGCCCAACCCCCGGGCCCTCCCCACTGCTGCCCTGCGCGTCCTGCGTCTCAGTTTCCAGTCTGGGACCAGCGGGAAACCACCGGCTCATCAAACAGAGCAGCCTGGGATTGCTGCTGGGTATTGCTCAGTCAGTTACGTGTCCGACTTCGGCTCAGGTCATGATCTCTCAGTTCATGGGTTCGAGCCCCGCGTCGGGCTCTGTGCCGACAGCTGGGAGCCTGGAGCCTGCTTCAGATTCTGTGTCTCCCTCCCTCTCTGCCCCTCCCCTGCTCATGCTCTGTCTCTCTCCCGAAAATAAACATTAAATTTTTTTTAAAAAACAAATAAACAAAAGTCAAAAGAAACAGGTGATTTTAACGACAAGTTTTTGAGCAGTCTTCACGCCCGGCACGAGGCTTGAATTCACAACCCTGAGATCGACACCTGAGCTGAGATCAAGAGTCAGACACTTAACTCACTGAGCCCACCCGGGTGCTCCTTAATAACATATTTTTTAACCCAATGTGCCCCAAATATTGTCATTTCAACATGTAGTAAATATAAAACATCATTAATGAGTGACTTCATGTTCTTTTTTTTGTACTTAATCTCTGCAATCTGGCATGTGCTTTTTTTTTTATTTTTTCTAATGTTTATTTTATTTTTGACAGAGAGAGACAGAGCATGAGTGGGGGAGGGGCAGAGAGAGAGGGAGACACAGAATCGGAAGTAGGCTCCAGGCTCCCAACTGTCAGCACAGAGCCCGACGCGGGGCTCGAACTCACAGACCGTGAGATCATGACCTGAGCCGAAGTCGGCCGCTTGACCGACTGAGCCACCCAGGCACCCCTGCTTTATACTTACAACACAGCTCAGCGCTGGCCAGGCTCCTTCCAAGTGCTCTGAAGCCACACGTGGCTGGTGGCTTCCGCCTGTGGACACAGCACATTGTGGACAGCCCGGGTCTAATCCTAATGCCGGGTTCAGCGCCTTCTCCCCCCCTCCCCCATCCCCCCATCAGCACCTTCTCACTCCCTCCCCCGCCCCAGGGTCTCAGAACAAAGACAAGGACCCTGGGCTCTGAAGTGCATCGTCCAAGCTTCCTCTCTGAGCCTATAGGATGAGAAGGCCCACTGTTTGTGGGGACAGTTTAATCACGACAGTTTGTGGTCCCAAAACAGAGACGCTCAGAACCTCTTAGAAGCAGCCAGCAGTGGGGCTGCTGTCTCCGTGAAGCTGGTTGCCAACATCGGAGCCAACCTGATCGCCTTCCTGGCGTTGCTGGCCTTCGTCAACGCGGCCCTGTCCTGGCTGGGAGCCATGGTGGGCGTCCAGGAGCTCAGCTTCCAGGTATAGCTGTGCTGCCCTCTTGGCCCGCGAGGGGCGCCCTGGGGGCGGGGGGGTGGGCGCCAGTGGGTGGACACCCAGCAGAGCCCAGGCCAGCCCCTGTCATGGCAGCCGCCCTTGTCCCTGTGCCTCACTCAGCTCATCTGCTCCTATGTCCTGCGGCCCGTGGCCTTCTTAATGGGTGTGACCTGGGAGGACTGCCCGGTGGTGGCCGAGCTGCTGGGGATCAAGCTGTTCCTGAACGAGTTCGTGGCCTATCAGGGGCTCTCCCAGTACAAGCAGCGCCGCCTGGCCGGAGTCGAGGAGTGGGTGGGCACCAGGAAGCAGTGGATCTCCGTGAGTGTCCTGGTCCCCTCCGTGAGCCCCCTGCAGCTGCCGTCCTGGCTCCCGGACGGGCGGTGGACACGCCCGCCCCCCAGCCCTACTGCCCTGAGCAACCAGCCGGCTTCAGGCCTCGCTGCCGCCTTCCTGAAAGCCTTTTAGGAGGCTGGGCTGCAAGGAAACAGTCTTTTTTAAAATGTTCATTTATTTTGAGACAGAGAGGGAGCACAAGCAGGGGAGGGGCAGAGAGAGCGAGAGAGACAGAATCCCAAGCTCGAACCCACGAACCCTGAGATCGTGACCTGAGCCGAAATCAAGAGTCGGACACTCAACCGACTGAGCCCCCCAAGGTGCCCCAGGAAAGGGTCTTGTTGGGGGAGATCTAAGATCTCCCTGTAGATGGGCCACCATCCTGTGTGGCTTCGGGACAGCCACTGCGCCTTGCCTCTCCTGCTGGAAACTGGTGTCGTTTGTGCCGCGGCTGTCCTCAAAGGGACACACGTCCGCGTCCAGTGAGCAGAGGGAGCGAGCTGGGGAGGCCCCACCACGTTCACTGCCATTCTATCGGATTCAGTTCAGGGGCTGGCTTTTTCTGTGGCTAAAAGTTCTATAAAATGAAACTTTCTAAACAAATAAAAGCTTTGTGGCATCACTGAGAATAAAACAGTTACTTGTCACCTCGCCATCCTAAAATAACAGCTAGTGTTGTTTTATGCATTTTCTTCTTTTTCTTAAGACAGTTTACACGGTTGCCATTACATATATAATTTTTTGAGGGGGGGGCGCAGGTGAGTGAGGAGCAGAGAGAGAGAAGCGGGGCTCACCTGGGGCTCAAGCTCACCCAGTGCGGGACTTGAACTTACGAACTGTGAGATCGTGACCTGGGCCGAAGTCAGATGCTTCACCCCTGAGCCACCCAGGCACCCCCACACAGTGGCCATTATAGCACCCACCCGGGCTGGTAGCCGGCTTTTCCCCACCTGTTTCTGACAGAAACATTATCTGTGACGTATGTATGCTGACGGATTTCACCAAGACCCCTGCCGTTGGGCCCTCCGGGTTAATTGCATCGTTTGGCTGTTTTACGCGGTGCTGAAATGAGTGACTGTGTGCACAGAGCTGCTCCCTCCTCTCGGATCATTTCCTCCGGAGCTTTCCCAGATGCGGGAAGACTGAATCACAGGGCCTGAATCCTCCAGCGGCTGCTGCCAGTAACTTCCCTAAAGGGTGGGGGCAACTGAAATCGCCCCCCCGGCCGTGCCCTGAGCGCTGGTTTTACCGCTAAACGGCACGGAGCAGCCTCTTTGGAAAAAATTAAAAAGTTGTGCCACTTTAGCGGACCAATAACGGCTCGTTGGCATTTCTTGGGTTACTAGGAACTTTTAACACAAACTATTTTTTCTTGTCTTTGAAATTAGGTTTTAAATTGTAAGGGAATGTAGCCTCCAGTTAAAAAAAAAAGTTTGAGATCGAAAGTACAGATTTCTCCTTGCTCCTTGTCCTCAACCCCTGTGTCAGTCTCTCCTCTAGAGATAATGGATGGGATGCTCCTTGAGGATCTTTTTTTTTTTTTTTTTTTTTTAATTTTTTTCAACGTTTATTTATTTTGGGGACAGAGAGAGACAGAGCATGAACAGGGGAGGGGCAGAGAGAGAGGGAGACACAGAATCGGAAACAGGCTCCAGGCTCTGAGCCATCAGCCCAGAGCCCGACGCGGGGCTCAAACTCCCGGACCGTGAGATTGTGACCTGGCTGAAGTCGGACGCTTAACCGACTGCGCCACCCAGGCGCCCCGAGGATCTTTTTTTATGAACTTCTTTCCTTTCGCAAGTGTTTGTTGAGACCTCTAAGGTGCCAGGCACTCTGCTGGGCACCAGAAATTAGAAGGGAAATTAGACAGATACGGTCCCCAGTGTCATGGAACTTACATCTAGTGAAAAGAACAAGAAAGCAAAGGAATAAAAAGTAAAATAAGTCCTTTGTGTTAAGTTCTATGAAGGAAACAAGAAGAGGAAACAAAGGGGTCTTCCTGGGCTGGGCGAGTCACAAAAGGCCCCCCTGAGGTGTGGCAGTTAGGCCAAGACTTGGAGGGTGGAGAAGGGGCCAGGTGAAGCTGGGAAGAATATTCCAGGCAAAGAAAAGGCACGTGCAAAGGCCCTGAGGTTGAAAAACACTCGTTTGGAAAATTGAAAGGAGAGAGGCACAGTTAGAGCAGGTGGTAATCATAGAAGAGACTGGCATAGGCTGAGGAGTAGTCGAAAGTTCCTGAAGATTTGACATTTGACATTTTAAGATTACACAGGCTGCTGGATAGAGGGTGATTGTAGGTGAGCAAGCAGGATGCAGGAGCCTTAATATTTTTCCATCAATTTGTATAAATTATGTTATAAAGACATTAACCTTTTTCTTTTTTTTTGTTTTTTTAAATCTTTTTCTAATGTGTTTTATACACGTATTTTTCCCAGTCTTTCCTCCCCCTTCATCTTGTATTCAGGGATTTTTCTGGTAACAGATTTTACAACAAATCTTTTCCTCTGTGATTTCTTCTATTACTTCTAAACTTAGAAAGGTATCTCCGTTCCAGAAATCTGGGAAGTGTTAAATTCCTGAAACATTATGGTGAAATATTTAAAAGCGTAACTTTTGCAGTCAGACAGAACTGAATTCCAACTCTGACACAGCTACCTTCATGCTGGGTGACCTTCCGCAGTTACTTACCCTCTCTGAGCCTCAGTTTTGCTCCTGTCCAAAATGAGAGTTATAACGCTACCTCGTAAGTATAATTATTATCTTCTTCTATTTTCTATTATTTGATGTTTGAAATACCAGTATTTATCTGCTTCAGTGCTCTAGAACTGATTTTTTTTTTTTTAATGTGGCATGAGATATGGTGTAAGCCAATTTTTTTTTACTCTAAACTGTTCCACTTGGGTCTTAACATCTCTTTCTGGGAAATTAACTGTTTACGTGGGAAGGGAAGAAGAATTACTTTGCTTAACTACCTAGTGTCTGCCTGGTACTTCCCATGCGGTGTGTGACCCTCCTGACAGCCTTCCGGGCAGGTGCTATGATTCCCACATTCCACATGGAGACGCGAAAACTGCACTTGACCTTAGCCAAAAGGCCGAGATGCGATGAGACGCGAAAACTGAAAGAGGCTGTTGACTTGCTTAATCTGGTCATAGGTGGGGACAAGCCTGGAGCCCGCGTTGGCTGGGCTCCCAGGTCCTCACTGTCTTCAGCAGGCCGTGCTCCGGTGTCTCTAAGTCTCAGAGCCCAAGTCAAGTCTGCAGTGTTGGGAAGGGTCGTTCCCCCAGCGCCCCCCGGGGCACAGAGCTCAGTGGGGCCAAAGCGAGAGGGCAGGGCGAGCCTGAATCATACCAGGAAAGGCTGGCAATGAAGATAAGGGGCCTGAGGGCACCTGGGTGGCTCAGTCTGTTAGGGGACTGACTTCTGCTCAGGTCACGATCTCACGGTTGTGGGTTTGAGCCCCGCGTTGGGTTCTCTGCTGTCAGCACCTTGCCTGATTTGGATCCTCTCTCTCTGCCCCTCCCCCACAGTCAGTCTCTCCCTTCAAAATAAATAAACATCTAAAAAAAAATTAATGAAGGTAAGGGGACTGAAGTGACAGAAAGGGGGCTGTTTCTCAGGTGGTGCAGCCTGCACAGACATGGAGGCGGTGTTTGAGGCCCGGGAGGGGCAGCAAAGGTCAAAGACGCACCGGATACGGGTGAAACTTGGGCCAGGGAGCCAGGGCGGTGTGGGGGCGCCCCGTCCCAGCCAAGGGACGCCCCTCCTCACTCATCCTCTGTATTTTCAGGTCAGAGCAGAAATCCTCACGACGTTCGCCCTCTGTGGATTCGCCAACTTCAGCTCCATTGGGATCATGCTGGGAGGCCTGAGTGAGTCCGGCAACCTGGGCGGCTGGGGGCCTGGCTCTGAGACAGCTTCCTGGGGATCTTGGGCCTCGGTTCTCCCATGCGTTCAGGGCAGGGCCTGAGCAAGATGGCGGTGGGGGTTCCTCCCGGCCCATGACTTCTCTGCGCCAGGGATCGGCACCTTGGGGTTCGCACCTTGGCCTTGCAGGCCAACCCCGGCTCAGGGGTCTGGGGAGGAGCAGCAAGTGGGGTGCTGGCCCGAGGCTTTGGCCCGCAGGCTCCCATACCCGCGGTGGACACGCAGCCCTGGCGAGGCCTAGGGAGGAAGGCACAGTTCTCGGCTCTTTACCAAAAAATGTCCACTCTTCACAGTCCCCCTGCCTGGTGGTGTAACTATCCCATTTTACAGAGTAGGACACTGAGTCTTGGAGAAATGGAGTGATGGCCCCAGAAGTGGCTGAGCCCGTATTTAATCCCAGCTCGGCCTGACTCCAAACTCATGTTCTCTTCCCACATCTGCCGTTGAGGGTGGCAGCTGTGGAGTGCTACCTGGAGCCTCAAATCAGGCCAAGGAGGGTTCCCAAACTCAGTGAGTGGTCAGCAGGGCGACATCTATCCTTCTGGCCGCCCAGAAGAGGGAGGGGAGCCAGCAGGTGCATCCAGCGGTGCAGAGTCCGGGCGGAGGGGCATATGGCTTCCTGGCCTGAAGCACTCCCGTGCCCTTGCAGCCTCCATGGCCCCCCAGCGGAAGAGCGACTTCTCACAGATAGTGCTCCGGGCGCTCTGCACGGGGACCTGTGTGTCGCTGGTGAATGCCTGCGTGGCCGGTGAGTGCAGGCCTGGCAGAGCCTGATTTTCTAGCCGGCTCCCATCCAGGGTCGGACACCGAGGCCCTGGGCCCTCCGGAAGTCCCTGGGGGTGGGGAGTGGGGGGCACAGACCCTGCCCAGCAGCTGCCTTCCCTGCGCAGGGATCCTCTATGTGCCCAGGGGGGCTGAAGTTGACTGCACGAGCCTCCTGAACACAACCGTCAGCAGCAGCAGCTTTGAGGTGTACCAGTGCTGCTGTGAGGCCTTCCGGAGGTGAGGCCTGGGTCGTGGGGCTACGGGACCCCGCAGTAATGGGGTGCAGAAGACCTGAGTGCCTTAGGGGTGCCTTTGGCACCGGGGTAAGGGGTAGAAATGTCATGGCTGTGGCCAATGTGGCCAGGGGAGGCGGAGGCGGGGCCTGAAGACCAAACTTGGGGACGAAGGGGGACCAGAGGCACAGAGCAGCTCCCCTAGGGTTGCACAGCCTTTAGGGGCCAGCAGGGCCAGGCCCGGAGCCCAGACCGCAGCCTTTGCTTCTTTTCAGCACCAGCGCAGAGGTCAGCCGCGGGGCCCTGGACACCTGCTGTCGATTTTACAACCACACGACCTGTGCGTAGCCGGGACGGCACGTCTTCGGCCCTCTGGGGGAGCCACAGGGCTTAGAGTCGCCTCAGTCACACAGTTGGAAAGGAGCGATGGGGCGGGCAGGCAGAGGCCGGATGGTATGGAGGTGAAGGATGCTCCCCAGTCCTTGCCCCCTTCTTGCTCCCTCTCGAGATGTGAATTCTTGGGGTCGCCTCTGCCTCATCGTCTCGCCCCTCCACATCCAAAGAGCACCCTGGTCTCTGTCTTCCCACCTTGCGTCTCTCACATGCTTCTGTTATGGGGTCCCTCCCTCTTCCTCCTCTGGGCACGTGAATCTTGCCTCTGCGGGACGGGTTCTCCTGGGAACCCCTGCCTCTACTTTCAAAGACTCCCCCACCGCCTTTGCCCACAGCACATCCCAAACTGGTGTCCCGTGAAACACTGGCCGACAAGGTGTTCAGGAGATTCCAGGATCCACCAGGCTTGGGAAACTAGGCGCTGAATAAAGTTAGACAGGTTTTACTTTGTGTTTGTTTCTGTTTTACTGTGGGCTCGTCAAAGCTTGATATAGACATGAAGGGAGACGTTTTCCAAATTTTGGGGAGAGCGCAAGCGGGGGAGGAGCAGAGAGAGGGGGACAGAGGATTCAAAGTGGGCTCTGCGTTGACAGGCTGTCGGCACAGAGCCCGATGTGGGGCTCGAACTCACGAACCATGAGATCATGACCTGAGCTGAAGTTGGACACTTAACCACCTGAGCTGCCCAGGTGCCCCCCCAACTCAGCCTTAGCAACTTTATGAAGTCAGGTACTGTTAGTATCCCTGGTGGCTGAATCAGAGGCCCAGAGAAGTTAGGTAACTCGCCCAAAGCGACACAGCTAGGAAGAGGAAGAGGCAAGATTTGAACCCAGGCCATCCGGCTTCACAAGCTGTGTTTGACCTCCCGGCTAGGTTGCTAACATTCAAGGAACTCAGTTGGGTGGGGGACTTGTCCTTACCTCCTCCCCTTGCCTTTTCTCCCCAGTTCAATCCTGCTGTTCCGCTGGGTCAGGCTTCTGATGTGTCTTCCCTGTCTCTGAGCCTTCGTTTCTGGTGTCCCCATCACCCAGCACGCCCTGCCCCTCTCCCTTTTGCCTTTGCCGCTCCTACCTCACTTCCCACTTCCCCAGCAGCTTTGGGGGAGTGGCCTGTGGTGCACCTGTCCCTGTGGCCGCTGCTCCCTCACTCACCTCTGGCGGATCAGGCTTCCCAGTTGGAGCCAGCGCTGGCCTGAGGCAGCAGGCGCTCTGCTCTGTCAGGGAGTGTGCTCCACCGGGCACTGGCCTTGCTCCTTGGGACGCCCACAGGCTGCCCTCAGGGCCTGAGTCCTTCCCCTTAGTTCTGCAGACTGGAGCCTTGGCTTGACCCCCACACCCCATGTCTAGGCCCTTATCCCTGCCCCAGGTCCCCCTGAGCTGTCACAGGCCACCCTCCCACGGGAACCGAACCATTTCCCCGTATCAGACCCAGCCCCTTCCCCGCCTGTCCGTCGGGCCATGGAGCTGCCTGAGGGCCCCCCACCTTCCCTGGGACGCCCTCCTTCCCTGGGACCCCTGCACACATGTCCCTGGAAGACCGTAAGCCCCTTGGCCACGGGGCTCCCCGTGCTTCTGTCTCTCCCCTGGGATTCAGCGCAGGGCTGGGCCCATGAAAGGCCACGAATGAACGCACGTGAAAGAATTGCAACTTGTCTCAGAGGCACCAGAGCCTGCGTGTGCCCCGCGCCCTAAGGACACATGCACGTGCGCTCAGCACTGCTCTGATCGAGGGGCAGGCACAGAATTAAGGTCTCCTTAGTCGTCAGGCCTTCCCCCCACCCCCGTGCTCCTTCTGCCTCATTGGGCACCTGCAGAAGCTGGGAGCCCTTTGAGGCTGGGCCTGCAAATAGATTCTGCCCGGAGAAGGCACCGAGGCTGGTGCCAGATGCCCATGCTTAACTGCATCCCAGGCGGCAGCTGTAAGTCAAGCTCGGCACAGAAGCCTCCACCTGCGCCCTCCACAGCCAGGACAGACATTGCTAATCAATCACAGCACTCCCCACACTGAACCCGGAAGGGGCTTCAGAATCCCCATCAGTGCGGTGCTGGATGAGCCCACTGAGACTCGGGGTGCCCTTTCGGGAGAGAACTCTTTGCTGCCCTTGTGCTAAGAAATAGATACTAAGAACCCGAGCTGGCATTGATTTTGTGTCCCTGGCCTGGAAAGGGCTGGGGCTTGTGTAAAAGACTCTAGACGTTAAGGGCGTCGGAGCAGAGAGGGATCCTTGCAAAGACTGAGGCCTGTGTCCGCGATCAGTGTGCTCCAGGATTACGCATTGCTTGTTTACTCGGGCGAGGAATATACGCTGCGGACCGGCTGCACCAGTCAGCTCGGGCTGCCGTAACAAAACGACACAGATGGGGCGGCTCAAACGACAAATTTGTTTTGTCATCGATTTGGAAGCCGGAAGCCCAAGACCGGGAGGCCCGCACGACCGGTCTCTGGCGATGTCTCTCTTCCTAGGCTGCAGATGGCCACCCTCTCACTGTGTCCTCACTTGGCAGACAGAGAGACACAGAGAGAGGTAGAGAGAGACCTACAAGCTCTCTGGTGTTTCTTCCTGTAAAGGCGCTAATCCCATCATGGGAACATCATCCTCACGACTTCATCTAACCCTACGTAATCCCCGAGGCCCCATCTCCAAATACCATCACATCGGAGGTAAGAGCTTCCACGTGAATTTGGGGGGAACACAGTTCAGTCCATAACACCTACTATGTGCCAGGTTCTGAGCTAGACAAGGGGGACAGCAGTAAACCAGACTCTAATAAGTTAAGAACTGGCATCTACCTCCGAGAAGGTTGGCTGGGAAGGGAAGCCTCGCCAGAGACAGGAGGTGGCTCCCGGTAAGATGACCTTGAGAGGAGGGAAGGGGAAAAGATCTCCCGCAGAACTTCTAGGGCGTCCATAGGTGGCCTGGCCAATGACATTGTTGGAGGCTCTTAGTACATTGGCAAATGAAAATAATGCCAGAATAGGATTATAAAAATTATGATTTATACTGTCGTATATTTTAACACAGAATACACTGTAATATTGGGTTACCCACAAGATAATGACGGGATTTATTTTTCAGCTAAAGCCCAACTGAATAATTTAAAAAGCCGTTTTTATTAATATCAAACACGTTACTGTGATTGCATGTTTTTGTACAGTAGGTTTCTTTTTTTATATATACATTAGGTTTCTTGAAATATGTAGATTCTGTGCTTTTTAAAAAATTTTTCTTTTTTAAATTTATTTATTTTAAGAGAGAGAGAGAGAGAGCATAAGTGAGGTAGGGGCAGAGAGAGAGGGAGGAGAGGATCCCAAGCAGGCTCTACACTATCAGCACGTTGCCCGACGTGAGGCTCGAACCCACAAACTGTAAGATCATGACCTGAGCCGAAGACGGATGCTTCACTGAGCCACCTTAAGGGCCCTGGATCCTGTGCTTTTCTGTATTTAGTGTAATGACGATCAACATTTAAGATATATATTATTTTAAATTAAGTCCTGGCGGGGTGGTCTCATGACCCTTTTTCAGCCAACATGACGCTACAATTGACCTAATTTGGAGATGTCAGCACAGGTCTACACTGGAAGCCGTTCATGGATGTGAGGCTCCCGTCCCCCTTCCTGCTGCCCCCTGCGTGTGCCTGACCAACCACCAGCAAAACGAACTGAATGGGCTTCACTCACGGAAAGGCCTGAGGCCCAGAGCGTGGTGACAGCAGATGTCTCCCAGACGGGACCGGCCGTGGAGCTGACACAGACGGGGAGCACATCTATTCCCGGGGGGGGGTGCA